AGGAAAGAAGGGAAAGGAATAAATATGAGAAAAGAAAAAAATGGAAACAAAGTCTTTGTAAATAGGGAGGGGTGGAGGGGTTGAAGGGAGGGTAAGGGAATGGGGAAAAATCAAGACCAAGATATGTCATGTAAAGGTACAAATCCTCATATTGTATATTTAAAATGTACCAATAAACTTAATGAATTAAAAAAAACATTATAATGTGTCCTCATCCACCTTATTCAAAGAATCTGGCACCTGGTGACTTCTGGCTCTTTCCCACGTCAAAATGACCATGAAAGGTAAATGTTTTGAATTGATTCAGGCCATCAAAGCAGTCATGGCAGCTCAACTAAAGACACTCACAAAAGAGGGCTTCCAGAACTGCTTAAGAAAATGGCAGGAATGATGAGTTGTGTGTTCAAAATGAGAGCAACTGTTTTGAGGAGGATTACTAACAATGTGCCTTTTACTGTAATAAACTTTTTTAAAAACACACTGTATTTTTCAATCACATCTCATATAATTGACATGTATCAGTTTCAAGCAAAGGTAATGAGCTACCTGCTTAGGAAATATGATACCCAACTCCCTTTCTCCCACATTGTTACAATCAATAGATAATTAGTGTTATTATATCAACTAGTGATTTCAAAAATTAAAATATTTGCCAAGTCTTTTTTTAGTTTCATTACAAAAGCCTGCCAGGTGAAGTCTTAAAATATCTACTCCCAGAATTCCCAGAAACTGCTTTCAACAGAAACATTCACATTAATATTAGAAAAATATCCATTAAGTATATCTAAATCCACATGCCTATTAAGTTAACCTAAGTAGAATAAGGATAAGGTTTCCCTCAAACCCCTACTGCCCCAAAGAATAAGTTCTACATGATTGCACAGAAAAATGGGATAGTCATAAAATGTTTTCTTAACATTTTGTTATATTAAAATGAGTTATTATATATTCTAATAACTATATATTTCAGCCTATAATTGCATCTTACTCAGCATGATCAAAAGAAATAATTAGCAAATAAATAGAAGTAATATTAGTAGTAAAAACAGCTATAGTGATAGTAGTAAAATAATACAGTGAACATACCTGGAAATAACTGTTTTGTTGGGGCACTGAGTTGTGCTAACTTTGAAACTCTATACGCAGTATCTGAACCTTTAGAATTCTTTCTGTTTGTGCAAAATCCCATTGTTTTTGATATTCCCTCTGGAGAACTGTGAAAATCTAGTGCTTTTAGTACATCAACTGGAGTAGCTGAAAAATAAGTTGAAAAAGTAATTGAACAAACAATATGATATAAAAATGAGCATTTTGATACAGAAAATAACACATCATCCCATTCTTGAAATCTATTACCATGCCTCCTTAACATTTAGAGGAGTGGGACTACAGGTAGTGATATAAACTGTTAAAGCATTCTTGAGTACAAAATATCTCAAATATGGAATAAAATTATGGATAAATAAAACAGGTGCTTAAATGTGTGTATTTGTCTGCCATCCCTATAATAAAACCACTTTCTACATCCTGCCAGATCTGACTTCTAATAGTTTGTTTTGTTAAACAAATTTCTACCTATG